GTTATCCATCACGTCAAACCATCAATTTTGAATTTATATCTCTTTTGTGGAGCCCAATAACGACTATATTTTTCATTCTCATTCTACAATAATGAAAATCAAACGAGGCCTAAATGTGTAGAAGAGAAGGGGGAACAAAACGGCAGAAACTTCAAACATCACATCAATGTTTGTTTGTTTATTGCTTATAATTATTTAATAAAAAATATTTAATCTCAAAATTAAACCCAATTGCTCATTTTTCATGGATTTGATGTGACAATTCCAATCATTAAGCTATAAAAAACCCAAATGCTTTCTGTAGTCTAACAAATAATTAATATTTAAATCCCATTATCATTAAGCTAATTATAATTAATCAATAGAACGATACAATCCACGCTTCGCTTTGTAGCCATGCCCATTGGTGATCACTCAAGGTCAAATCAAAAGCCAGGCCGGCCGGTCTTTTCCATTCTTCTTTGTGGATTTCCGAAAATTGATTCATTTTGTCATATTCAGTTATCAATTTCTCGACTGACTATTTCTGTGTAAGATCAAATCAAAGACAGGCTGGCCTGAATCTCTTTACTTGTTCAACAAGTTCTCTTCCGGCACTTGGTTGGGATGCTAAATTTTGCGTGTAACAGATTGCTTTTCAGTACAAGTATTACTCTCTTTCTTGCTCTACTACAATGTACAATCGTATGCGTAATACACAGTGTGATTTACTGCTACTTCGTCCTTGTTTAATGGGTTTTTTTGATATATTTGGCTTCATTTCTGCTGTTCAATATGTTTTCGTAGGAGACTACTGTTTTTTCTATATTGGAGAGGATGCGGCTTCATTATGTGATGTTGTGCAACACCACCAACTCTAATGCCATATTTTGTTCTAATTTTTTGTGATGTTGTGCCATAATTTGGTGTTCATTTCAAGTTACAGTACTCTAATTTTCACTTCTAGTGCTAAATTTCTATTTTCTTTTGCTTAACACTTAAATGCCAAGTAAAAATAAACGACAGTTCTAGGGATAGGTTGACTTTGTTTCTGTTTTTGGCATCCAATTACTACTACTTCGCATTTCTCTATCAGTAAAATGTTCTAAATTCTATTAATGATTACATATCAGGTACACAGAAAACCCAGGATATGAGTTCTTGAACGGCGTTTCAGATACACAAAAGGAATAATAAATATTAGCAATGGCTGGAAATTATAGGTTTGAACTGGACCAAAAAGACATAGTTAGATCCTTGGTAACGACAGTGGGAAGTTTCATTCAAGATAGATTGATAGACAAAGAACAGAGAAACCAACACAAGGAACAATGTGCAGAGAGATTAGCAGCTGAGGATGGAAATTCTGATAAAGACACTGAAGTCCGGTACTCTGATCAAGCAGTTTTAGCCAATCTGGATTGGGGAATTGATGCCCTTGAAGAGGCAATCAGCACATCTAATATGGAAACCAAGATGGCACGATTGGACTATGCGGAGAAGATGTTACAAGTTTCTGCTATGCTGAATGCTTGTCAGAAAACTGCTGGAGTCCCTAATTTCTATCTATCTGCTTGGGCACATTTGAATCTGTCCTACTTGTGGAAGTTAAGAAATGATATTCATAATGCAGTTCTTCACATTCTGGAGATGTTTATTGTGGATCCATTTTTCTCGCGTATTGATTTTGCTCCCGAGCTTTGGAAGCACCTGTTCCTTCCACACATGAGCTCCATTGTTGGATGGTATTCGGAGGAAAGGCGAAACATAGTGATGGATGTGATTCCAGACTCTTCCGACTTGTCATTCACTGTGGATTTTGATAACTACTTCAATGAATCTTTAATCTTGTCAGTGAGGCCGGAGCAAGCAGAGAGAATTCAAGAATTGGAGCAGCTTTATGGGCAATCCTTAGATGAGAATACTAGGCTATATGCCAAGTACTACAAGGACTGCATGAATTATGATTCTGCTACTAGTAGGAAGGTGATTCCTATGTTGCCGATTGCAGAGGCACCTATGACTCCTTTGCATGAGGTGAGCCACTCAATTCCTGATTATGTGAAGTTTGGTCCAATCTTGCCCAAGAGTGCTGGCTTTTCTCTGGTTCTGAAAGCCAAAGAAAATGCACGAGAAGCTTCTAGGTAAGACTCTATCGATCATGTTTCTGAATTTTAAAGCATCACCTTTTTCAGTAAACTTTCCTTACTGTTTGAATTCATATAAATCAAAGCTGTATGAATGCAATTTTTTTGGACCTTCAACTTAAATCAGATTGAAGGAAACCTCTACCTTCTCAGAAAACCTGGAACGCTCTGCTACATGGGATGCTCGGGTAAGGTTTTTATTGGTTTAGAGTATGAAATGAAGTTGAATTTGATTGCTTTTACTGTTTTATAGTTTTACGCTTTCGAATGATTTATCTTCTTTGGCCCCACATTATCATTGTTAGGAGGAAATCCCTGGGGAGAGGGAAGATAGAGACGATGGTTCTGATGCATATATAGAATCTAAGGATAGTCCTCGAGAAATTGTGTCTAATAGTGGCTTTAGAACAGAAAAAGATGATGGAGCTAGTTCATATGTATCTAATAGCAGTACGGGAGTGAAGGACGAGGAAGCTACATCAAAAAGACAGCTAGCGATGGATTACATTTGCAGGCAATCTCCTTCTAACAGCACGATTATGAATTCTCCTAGAAGTCCTAGAAAGATTTCATCTCCAAAGGCAGGCATAAATTATGAAAAAGGACCAACATCTGTGTTGCGCCTCTTGTCCACCCGTGCCATGGATTCCAGAATATCTACTTCATTGCCTGATTCCCCATCTTTTTGTAATGATAATTCAAGCATTAGCCCGGCAGACTCAGATGGAGAAGTGACAGTATGTTTCAGACCTTTCACTAATTTGTAACTTGTATAGTTGTTCATTTATTAATTCAAAATGCATTCTTGGGCTTTAACTGAAAGTGGCATAGACAATCAGGGACAGCAGAAAACTGCAAGGGAAAGTGTTGGGTGCGCGCAAAGTGTTAAGCAAGTATTTCCAAAGAGGTATGTTTATCTAAAAGTCTCTCTTTACAGTGATTACCTTTCTCTTGCTTGGGTAGGGAATACTTGTGACACTGTACAGGATTTTCCCTCTCTTCCTGCATTATAAACTGATGTATAATTTCAGTGGTACTTGATAGGAAAATTTTTCATCTCATAAATTTGTGGCAGTTTTCTCAATGAAAGTGACGAAGGAAGCCAAAGCTATGTATCTTCCCCTATGTCTGAGATGTTGACTCCTCAGTCGAGACCTCCTAAGGATTTTGTCTGCCCCATCACTGGCCAGATCTTCAATGATCCAGTCACCCTTGAAACAGGACAGACGTATGAAAGAAAAGCCATTCAAGAATGGATGAACAGAGGAAATACGACATGTCCCATCACGCGGCAACCTCTCTCTGCCACTTCACTGCCGAAAACAAATTATGTTCTGAAGAGACTGATCACTTCTTGGAAAGATCAGCATCCTGAACTTGCTCAAGAATTTTCATGTACTGAAACGCCTAGAAGCTATTTGGGCAACTCTTCCCCGAAAGACATGCCATTAGAGTCCATTCTATCTCCGACTTCCAATCTTCTCACACTCGGGAGCATAAATAATGAAACCGAACGTAAACCTCGAAGGTTAATGCGAGCTGCATTATCAGCATCACCAACCAGTGTAATCTCTCAAGCTGCTGTAGAAACAGTAATCAATGCTTTAAAACCTTACATTCTGTGTCTGTGTAATTCGGAGGACTTGCAAGAATGTGAAGCAGCAGTTTTGACAATAGCCAGGATATGGGAGGACTCAAAGGTTGATTCGGGAATTCATACTTATTTGTCTTCTCCAGCTATAGTAAATGGGTTTGTGGAAATATTATCAGCTTCATTAAATAGGGATGTACTAAGAACAACGATTTACATTCTCTCCAAGCTGATATATGCAGATGATACAGTCGGGGGGCTTCTTACCAGCATAGATTCTGATTTTTATTGTTTGGCTGCTTTACTAAATAAAGGTCTGGCTGAGGCTGCTGTTCTTATGTACCTTCTCAGACCATCAATCTCTCAGCTTTCTGGTCACCACTTGATGTCCTCCCTTGTCACTATTATTTCTAACAAAAATGAAGATACTATGGGCCTTCAACTTGTTATAGCTCCCAAAGATGCTGCAGTAGCATTGCTCGAGAGGATTGTCACGGAAGGAGATGAGAATGACAGTTCACTTAATGCCATGAACATTATATATACAGATGGAATTCCTGCCTTGCTAAATTGCTTAAACAGGGTGGATGGAAGACAGTCCGTTGTGTCCATCCTTTTATGCTGTATCCGCGTCGATATAACCTGCAGGACTATGATAGCAAACAGAATCGAGTTATCTCCTGTTCTTGAATTGTTTTATGGTGGAGATGACAGTGTGAGAGGAATATGTATAGAATTTCTCTATGAGTTGGTTCAGCTGAGCAGGTACCATCAAAACTTTGCCATCTGAAGCTCTTTTATATATCGGGTGTTTTATTCCATTTTCGTAGCATGAGCCTTGGCTCGAGCTGGGGTCTTCTACCTCGACAACATATGATTGGTGACCCTGAATTGATACAAGCTCAATAGCTTTACCTGGGGCATTTTGTCTCGTCAAGGCTTAGTTTTCCTAATTAAAGCTCTTTTCTCCCTCCTTGTGTGTAACAGTATCTGCATGGCTTTGAGAAATTATGAGCTTTAGTAAGTGGGTCAGGGATTGGACCTGTCAGGTTTGAATTTTGTTGGCTCCCATTCACATAACATAATTGTTGGATCTTTAAATAGGGTGTACTGAGAGATCCATAGTAAAAAATTGTGTTTGGTTCTCCTATAGTCATCGCACAGCAATAAATCTTTAAGCTTGTTCTCAACTACTGTTGTGAAATACACAAGAATATTAATGTGAATCACGAAACCATTTTTTTTTAAAATTTTCTCGGTTCTTCCACTTTCAGTAATACTAATAACACCCACATTCATTTCTCTGTGATGCAGTAGAACATTGAGCAACCAGATTCTGCAGATAATTAAAGATGAAGGGGCATTTAATACAATGCATGCACTTCTAGTCTATTTACAAATGTCTCCAATGGAGCAGAAACCTGCCATTGCCACCCTTCTTCTCCAGCTTGATCTCTTGGTTAGTATTCTTCATCATCATGAATTAACTAAAAGACCACTTGTCCCCACTAAACCATGTTTTTTGGTTAATTTTTTGTTTCATTAGGTGGTTCCTAGGAAGATGAGCATCTACAGGGAAGAAGCCATGGAAGCACTGTTAGAAACACTTCAGAGAAAAGACTTCCCATCTTCTCAAGTTATGGCTCTACAAGCCCTATCATCTATTTCGGGACATTTGAGTACCTCAGGGAAGTCCTGCATGGAAGCATTGTTGCTAAAGACGGCAGGGTTTGATCAACCCTATAATGCCTTGATGAAAGGGGAGGAACTTAAAAGAAATGAAACAGAATTTACTGAAAAAAGGGTATGAGATGTAGTTTTGGGTTTTATATTAAGCCCCTCTTTGATGGGGATTAAAATTAGATTTTTAGTAAATTTTGATTAAAGTTGATAAATGTGTGGTTGAAAAGTTGTGGGTCCCATGAAATGTGTGGTTAAAATTAATTGTTAACTTTGACTTAGATTAAAATCTAGATTTTAATCGAGGGCTAATTGTTAACAACTTTGTTTTTTTTTCCTTTTTATGGTGAAGTCCATTTAACTGGGTAAAGGTATCTAGGCCTACTTACTGGCACTTTGAATTGATTGTTAAAAGCTTTATTTGTTTTCAACATTTATTTTAATTTTTGAATGCATGTGAATAGAAAGAAGAGGAGAAAGCAGCAAGGTCTTGGGAAAAAAGAGTAGCCTTTGTGCTTTCCAACCATGAGAAAGGGGTGATTTTTAAAGCTCTAGAGGAATGTTTTAAGAGCAATTCGGTAGAGATAGCAAAATCTTGCCTTCTTGTGGCCACCTGGCTTGTGCACATGCTCTACAGTTTTCCTGATTGTGGTGCAAGGGAAACCGCTCGTAAATCCTTGCTTGATAAGTTCATCAATGTGCTACAGTCATCAAGGAACTTGGAGGAGAAGATTTTGGCAGCCCTTGCTTTGAGAGGATTTGTTAGCGACCCAGGTACATTTTGTTCCTTGAGCTGATAGTCTATGTGCAATGTTTTCGTTTAGAAACTAACATTTATGATCCACGTTATAAGGTGGACTCGATGAAGTTGGGGTGTATACCAAATCTATTTGGAAAATCTTAAGGAAGCTTAAGAAGAGTTCCACAGCAGCCAGTGATATATTGAAAGCTTTGATGAACTTACCATGTGTTGATGCTGTGAGTGTGGTGTATACATTCTTTAATCTTCAATGCATTTTGAGGAAAATCATATTTGAGTAACATTAATTGGATAAAATGCAGGCAGAGTTGTGGTCCTGCACTGAAGGCCCGGAGTCAGATGTGTCTATGAATGGCGAAGTTCTCTCAATGGTTCATATAAGAAGCCGGTTGATAAGCAGCCATTCTGATGGAACCATAAAAGTATGGACGTGAGAAAATGTTATTGACCATGATTCACAACTCTCTATTACTTGTTACTCGTATAATAGGTGCTATCTAATCTTTACATCTACTAGAGACTTCTTTCCTAATTTATCTTCAAAACTTCCCCCCTCTATTCAGGTGTGGGATGCCAGAAAGAGAGTTCCCCGATTGATTCAGGAAGTTCGTGAACACTCAAAAGCTGTCACATGCCTTTACGTTCCTCCTCCATGTGACAAATTGTACAGCGGATCGTTGGACAAAACTATCCGAGTAAGTCCACATTCTATATGTCTTCTGCGATATAAAAATTCAAGCATGTTTACAAGTTAAAAGGAATGTATCCATAAAGGGAACAAAACTGATGATAGCTCGAAGACTTGCAAAAAGCTCACTGAATCCCTCTAAGTGCATGCTTGGCACGATACTTGATAGGGATGGGATACACAGTATGACAAAAAAGATTTTAGCTTATTTTCTTCCGTAATGCTGTCCAAAACTATCTAATCCTCCCTAGCAAACATGCCGTAAATGTATATTGTGATGGATCATCCTACATGCTATTCTTTATCTACTTTTTAAGGCAAATAAGTAGTTTCTTGTAATTTTCTTCTCATGCTTATGCATTGACCTTAATCTATTAGGTATGGTCAATCAAACAAGAGGAAATCCATTGCATTCGAGTTCATGATGTAAAAGAGATAGTCCACGAGTTGACAGCTAATGATAAAGTCGCATGCTTTTCATCTCAAGGAACCGGAGTTAAGGTTGGTACTCTAAACTTTCTTGATAACTTGGACGTCAATAAAATTCCAATATTGTAATCATCAAAATCTTGCAGGTCTATAATTGGTCAGGAGTTCCAAAACATGTTAACTTCAACAAAAATGTGAAGAGCCTAGCCTTGACAGCTGATAAACTCTACTGCGGTTGCACTGGTTGTAGTATCCAGGTAACACATTTTACACAGGGAGAAGAAATTAATCTTAACTGCCATATAAATCTTGCTTTCTACGAGAATATTTGGTTAACTAGAAAAGTTTACTTTTAACTGTTAAAAATAAATAATTATCTAATAGTCAGAATTGAAAACAAGCAATTTACTATATTAATAATAAGGTAAAAGTTACTTTCCAAAATAACTTTTTTAGTTTTTTTACTTAGAAGGTAAGGAAAAAGTAACATATCCAACATGAAACAGAAGTTATTAACAAGTGCTTCTCTTTTTTTGAAAGAAAATAGCCAAACGTGTTCTTAGTTTCCCTTTTCCTACTATTCTGCTAATGCACATCTTTTTTGAAGGCAAAATGTTGATAATAATGGAAATAGATGCTTACAGTAATCTTTACTGTGCTGAGAATTTGGAAATTGATGGCAGGAGGTGGATTTAAGAAATCTTACTTCAACTACATTCTATTCTGGTGCAAAAAAATTGCTAGGGAAACAAACAATATACTCGTTACAAATTTACAACGGTCTTTTATTTGCTGGTGGTTCACTAGTTGATGGTATAGCAGGCAAGGTATGAACTCCTAGTTATCTCATTTTTTACTGCCAAAACTGACAATCAGTTTCTGAATGAACTAACTTTTCCCTGAAAATAAAACTTGCATGTGTAAGGTATTCTCGCTCTGCAGCAAGGCAGTTATAGGATCATTATCAACTGGTTTTGACATTCAACGAATGGCTGTAAACAGTGACTTCCTATTTATGGCTACGAAGTGTGGAATAATAGAAGTATGGTTAAAAGAAAGGGTGACCAAGATTGCTTACGTTAAAACGGGATGTGTGGGGAATGCAAAAGTTATGTCCTTGGCTACAGACTATGAAGGACAGAGGCTTTTTGCTGGATCCTCTGATGGAAAACTCCAGGTACCAAACACACTTTTCTTTTGAGAATTTGAAAACATTACATAGTTAGCGTTGGACTGTGTGAAGCCTAATCATACTGTGCAATTTCTTCGTGCCCATTATAAACCAGTGTGCACTTTTCTTGGCTTCATGTTTCTTTCTGTTTATTATTTTGGTTGTCATTGTGATTAGGCTTAATCACAAACAGCTAGTCCTTTTAGCATTTGGTGTTTTGATCATTTCTTCAACGTATTGATTCCAGGTTTGGAGTCTGGACTAGAATATTTACTTGTCATGATGTAAATGACATTAAAGATTCCTCCTCGACGATTCCCAGTCAGTTTTTGAATCAATTCGGGAGCAAGGGATCGCATAGCGCGTGTTGCAGAATATTTTTTTAGCTCAATGGTGTCTCTGTTAGTTATGGATCATATTTCCACAAGGCAAATGCAATCTGTGATTAAATTTTATTGAAATGTTGCAGAAAAATTATTGAATCAACTGATCAATCACGTTGGTTAACCGCAAATGAATCCCATTTAGTTGTGCCCACTCGAATCCATCCAACTTATATTTTCGTTATCAGTTGACTATTCTGTTCGTAATTATAACCAAAATGAATCGATGGTCAATTTTACGTAGTTGATAGAATGCACGTTGTTTGACCTTATTTTTTTTTTTACGAGTGAAACATGGCAATCTTCATTTTATCAAGCAAACAATTGGAGTATGAGCGTGTCTGGGGCAGAACGAGTATTAACTGGTTTGGTAGTTTGCAATTTTATTGAAAGGGGACTTTGTCAGACGAGTTTCAACTATAGTTTAGCGTGATCAGAGTCAACTAATCAAATATAAATTTTATTGAAGTTAACGTAGGAGTTAGCCGAAATGTCATGGAATAATTAGATATATTTTAATAACCATTTTTTACTAGCTATTTAAGTTTACCCCGCTTGAGTCCATTTTCTTTAAATAATACCTTTTTTTAAAATTAATTTTCAGCCACATATTTTTCAAAAAATTATTATTTCATAATACATTTTACCCAAAAATGGGAATCAAACAGGGACAAATTTATACATTTTCATTTCAATATATATGCGTCACAAAGTTGGTCATGAGTTCTTCAAAACGATACCAAGATCTTATTCGATGATTGAGAAATATAGTCCGACAAGTCATAAGTGATGATGGTCATGAATTACATTCATTAAGGCCCCATTTGTCTTCCATTATTTCAAAACGTTGTTTGCTAGAGTAAAATTCTCCACCACACATTCATCCAATAAATTCAAATCGCACTAGTCTCAGTTGATGTCAAATATAAATTTTATCGAAGTTAACGTAGGAGTTAGCCGAAATGTCATAGAATAATTAGGTATATTTTAATAACCATTTTTTACTAGCTATTTAAGTTTACATCCATTTTCTTTAAATAATACATTTTTTCAAAACTAATTTTTAGTCACACATTTTTCAAAAAATTATTATTTCATAATACATTTTACCCCAAAATGGGAATCAAACGAGGACAAATTTATACATTTTCATTTCAATATATATGCGTCACAAAGTTGGTCATGAGTTCTTCAAAACGATATCAAGATCTTATTCGATGATTGAGAAATATAGTCCGACAAGTCATAAGTGATGATGGTCATGAATTACATTCATTAAGGCCCCGTTTGTCTTCCATTATTTCAAAATGTTATTTGCTAGAGTAAAATTCTCCACCACACATTCATCCAATAAAATATTTTATACAAAAATCAATAAAATTACTTTAAATTTCAACTACACATTCTTCAAAAAATATTATTCATTACTCAATTTATTCTACAATAATGGGAGACAAACACACACTTGTGCAAATTTTTATCTTGCTATTCCGACCTCGTTGTTTAGCAATTTTGTAAATTGAAATATACATTAGAAAGTATTTCCTAAGAGGATCTCCAAAAAATTTTATTTTTAAATAGCATATTCTATAATTAAAAGAGCGCTTATAAATTTGGATAATAAAAAAATTGAAGTTTTCCAATGGGCTTTTTAAATTTAAAACTTAGCTTTACTACTCCACAAAAAATTATTATTGTTCTCTATATGTTATTTTTACTAGTTCTTCCTCAAATTATTATATTATTTTTTTCATTAAAAATTGAAATATTTTGAATATATTTAATTATAAAGAATGTGACCCTCTTTATAATATTAATTTAAAGAGTCTTTTAGAGCAAAATTTTAAGAATTGATTCTTAAAAAAGAAAGAATTTATTGGAGATGCTCTATATACTTTAAAATGAGCTAATTGCAATTTTTTTCTAATTATTTTGGGTTCATATTATTCTTAATTACGAGGAAAGTGAATCTTAATTATTCAAATAATAATGCCATTTAACATTGTTAGTATTTAACATCAATTTATATGGTAACAACAATGATATTAATTACATATTTAGTCCCTGTTTGAGCAACATTAAAATTTCATTTTCATTTTTCTATTCATTTTCAACCACATATTCTTCAATAAAATAATATTTTCTATCAAATCAATAACTTTTCATTTTTTTTCAACTACACATTCTCCATCAATCTACTATTTCAAAATACATTCTTCCAAAATAATGTGACTCAAACACATCCTTAATTAAATAAATTACATAATTTCACTCTTAGAACGTGTTCGGTAGAGATTAAAATCAAATTAAAATTAAAAAATTAGTCGTTATTGTTGACTTTTATTAGACGAGTGACTCAATAACGACTATATTTTTAATTTTAATTGAAATTTAAGAATAAATTAATCAATTTGTGCCACCAAAACTCCGAGCGTTCTTATTCAAAATCCCGTGAATCCATTAACCCGGAGGCCAAAAACTTCCCTCCCCCCCAAATAAATCCTCCAGATTTGCCCTTTTTTAACATTTTCACAGTGTTTTAATAATCCCCCGAAGCACCACATCTATGGCGATCGACACCGTACCGCCGCTCATCGCCGCACAGCTAAATGATCTCATCAGCCACTCCTCTTTTCCCATCAAGGTAGGTGCACATCACCACTTCAAATCATGTACCTAGGGATACATGTATGTGCTAATCTGTATTTATATATTCGCAAACACTGTCATAAACTCCAGGGTTTTTTTTTTTTTTTTGGATAAGAGGGTTGCTAGTTCTGTTTAATAAATATAATGTTGCAGGTGGAGCAAATGTGGTCTGGCTGCAAAAACCCTAGCTTGCTTGATCGCTTCACTTTAGTCATCCCTTTTTGCCTCGACTATATCAAATGTCAGAATAATTTTATAGATTGCGTTCTTTAATGTTTTTGTTGTGGTTGAAATTTTTAATTGTTTACTGTTATCGGGAAAATGAGATGTAGGGGATGTGATATACAACGCTATATATCCACTGGCGGCTCCGGATATAATATTTGGACCTGAAGATGAAAGTTTTTCGCCGTATAATGGGGTCAACGAAGCTGTGGACTCGAAATCTTCTAAAAATTGTTTGGCCGATTGGAACAGCAAGGACCCCAGTCGGCTATTGCGTCTTATTATTGAGCTCAGGTTAGGATTTTTTACAATATAATTTCTGTAGAACATGGAAAATTTTACTGCTTTGTAATCTTTTTTAATGACAATGTGAGTTTTGGAGTCTTTGTTTCTTTTCATTTCAAGGGATGCATACACGACATACCAGAAGAAACGTGTAGGAGAGGTTGATGATGATAGATTGAAGTTTGAACTCAGCACTATGCTTTCGAGAGAGGTTAGTGTTAAACGAGTTTCCATTTCTGGAGAAAAAAGATTGAGCTTTGTGCATTTTCTTTGCATTTCCAGGTGCTTAAAGTGATCCCTTTCGTGTGAAATGTGTTAGATGCTCGAATCGAGCAAAAAGTGGGACCTTTTATCTGTAAGGTTTTATTTTCATCGTTTGGTTGAGTGTTGAGACCAGTAGGTTGATGAAAGAAACATATGCCTGTTTTGTTTGAGGAGTTATTAATGTTTATCTTTAGAGCTTGATCTCAATCAGTTGATAATTAGTTTTTGGTTTCCCATGTTCTGTGAATTGCGTAATGGGAGGTGCAAGTAGGTCTAAGAGATATGACCTAAATTGCTTCTCTTGTCGTCTTGAATTTTGCACGAGGCCTAGAAAACTGTTTAAATTTCTTCATATTTTTTCACAGGGAATTGAAATGTGTACGAGTTCAGGCATTGACAAGGTAATTTAGGATGACTAACAATTTTTCATCCTGCCATGGACCACTGTAATATGCTTCCATATAAGTTAACTCTCCTGGTGGTCGCTGTGCCATTAATTGTTGTGTAGCCAGAAGAGGTCAGATTTGCAGTACCTTTATTGGAGATGGATATAAATAAATTGGTTCTTGGGTCCACCTGGAAACGTCCGCAAAAGATATACTTACAGGTTAGATGAAATGACTAATAACACGTGTTTGTGGCGCCTACACTTTTTTGTTTCCTTCTTTATTGTTCATCTCTACTCATGCTTTGCATTCAGTTTATAAAGGCTCCCCCGGATGCATGCACACGCGCACAATGTCGTATGATATCACTATAAACAATCCATTTTACCTGCCATCTCGAAGCTACCTAACAATTTTGTTCTGTTCTGTACAGTAACATATTTTTATATACCTTTTGAATTTGGAGCGAGAAAGTGCTAAATCTCTACTGATCGTTGTAGAAATGCCATTTTGTTGCTTACAATACCCCATAACATATTTAGGTCGTTTGCAAAGAGTTTTATTAGTAACTTTTTGTGAGACATCTATTGAATAAATTCAAATCCTACTCTCCAGTCTCCACCACTTAAATAAATTGACATCCACCACTTAAATAAATTTATGTTCTCGTTTACTAACACTTGAAATATAAACTCCGGAAACATCTGTTTTAGTAGGACTTTGTGATAATGCACCATTTTCACCTCAAGCCTTTCAAAACTTATCACTGCATCACTTTTAAACTTACTGTTTCACCAAATTAAACATGTCTATAGGTTATATTTCCAGTTGGTAAAAAGTCTCCTTCAGCCCCACGTCTGAAGTTGGTGTCTCCCGTTGAATTGAAGGCCCTATTTTCTATTGATGATTTTAAACTTCCTCCTTGGTTAGAGGGGATGTAAGTTCATGATCTCTTACTGTAAAAAATTTCAACATACTCTGACTGTCCCCTTTCTGAAGGCTCAGCCTTTCCTGTTGTCTAAAATTTGCCTTTCCTTTTCCCTCTACAGGTGCATGGCTGAATATCTTCCAACTTTAGAGGAGATGCTGCAAGCACAGGTTTGCTGCATTCTATAAAAAGTTTAGCTTTCAACTTGACATGATTATGTCCTCTAAATAAATTATAACCACAATAATGCTCATTAGATTGATTGATCCCTCCCACTTTTTATTGTATTACCTATCGTTTCTCAACAGATTACTGATGCAGTCTTGTCAATCGAAGTAAGAAGAAAGTTTATCATGGTTTTGGAGCCTCTGTTTGGAAGACCATTAGAAGCTGATCCGGTTTGGCTTCATTAACTTCAAACAATTGACTGCTAATTGCTATCTAATTGCTATATTGGTTGATAAAGAGAAATGCTAATCCCTCCTTGCTATGATTTCCAGGTCTTCTGCAGAAAGGCGACTTTCCTGGCTAATTCTGGGGTGTTCACTTTTCTGGTAGGACATATCCTTAGCACTTCATGTATTTCTGGTTTTACATCTTTATTGCATCTGATGAAAGTGTTGCCCAATGGATAATATTTTGGATAACATGGAAATAGCTCAATAACTTTTGTAACTCAAGGTTTTATTTACTGCCTTTTTGTTTCGTTCCGCTTTCCTGTTCGGAGTTGTGCATTTGATTTTGTTTAAGCAGCTTTTCTTGTTGTTAGCTTAATCCTCTAAATTTTAAGTCTCGCTGAGTTACCTTTACACCTCCACAACTTTCCTTCCTCTCACCATGAAATGTTGAATCAAAAGTTGCCTTTTTCTGCCTGATATCGGCAGAGGTGGTAAATTTCTTGATCAAGGATGTGATCAAAAGATTGACATGTTTATGTTGCTGGCTTTAAGATGAGTTTGTTGTGAAGAATTCGTGAGTTAGGGGACGAGACAACATTGACACCCATTGTTGACGACGTTTATGTACTGGATTTCTTGCCGTTTGTCTGGGAGTTTAAAGTAGAACTAGATCGATGGAGTGGCAACAAGGAAAAGGTTTAACTTATTATTTTGTTGTCGGGCCTTGGGTTTGCTCCCCAATGGTCACCGGTTCGAATCCCCTCAGGGCCACTGAGATGAGTACCCGACCTTAAATTTCAGGGCCCCGTGGGATTAGTCGAGGTGCGCGTAAGCTGGCCCGGACATCCACGGTTATCAAAAAAAAAAATTTGTTGTCGGGAGTTCCATGGGAAGTTATCCTACTTATAGTTATAGGTAAAACATCAATAGCAAGGAATGATTAGATAGCCTGAACTCTATGAAGAAGAAAAGAGAGGCTAAAATCTTATTCATTTAATACCGCTTACTAATCATGGATTAATAGTTTAAAGTTGCCTTCTTTGGTGTTTATCATCTACAATTTTTTCATAGTAGTTGGAGAACAATTGATAGCAAGTTAACAAGGGGTGATCTTTACCTGGATCCTTATATGGATATGTTAATTCATTCATAGCTTGAAATAACACTTTTTATGGCAAGAAATACTACAGAGAATATTTATCTTAAAAAATTGTTGATGTGTCACCAGGAAATGCTGATCTGGTCTCCTGCACCAGGATGGCAACAATGTCCCTGTTTATTAGATATTAAACTTGTATCTATTTCCAGTGTTCGTGTTTTTATAAGTGTTCAGCTTTAGGTATTTTTTGAAATGTTCTTCAGTTGGTTGGCCAGACCTTATCTCCCCCTTAAACCCCACCACACATAAAAAAAAAAAAAGAAGAGGAAAACAAAAAGTATATAATTTAATAAAGCAATCAAAATACTAGCTTCAAGAAAAAAAAAATGGTGAAATAAAGATGAGCAATGTCAAGCCTGGTTTTCGACTGTCTATTTTCTTCCGTGTGCCAAAAGATTGCCAGTATGAGACTTTGATAATGGAAGAACATTGTCATTGGTATGTCTTGCCTTTTCTATTGTGATTGAGGATTCTCCAAGTGATAAATAATTGTCAAGATTAGGTACCTATTCTCATACTATTTAGTTACTCTTTTGTATGTTGATTGTTCTCTTCTTTGGAAACCATTGTTTTCCAGGGTGTCCTGTTCCTTGTTTTTGTCATTTATTACCTTATAGTCTTACTCAGAGCATTTTTTTAGGTGCATATCTCCATTCCTCTTCAATTTCCAAAGCAGAAACCAACTTTGATACTCCAGAGTTCCCAGGTGATTGATCTTTCTTTCTTATTAGAGTGGTAAAACCTGTACACAGCTTATTATATATGTCAAGAGCATGTTTGGCTAAGTTCAAAAAAAGTATAACTCTTTACTTTTTGTTTCTAAACATGTTCAGATATATTACTTAATGCCAAACTAAGCAACTTTCTCATGTCCGACTTTGACCAATAAAAAATTACACCTTCTGTCTCATAAAGATATGTTTGCTTTCCTTTTTCATTTATCCCTAGTTATATGCCACTTTCCTTGCCTAGAGTACAGATGCTTTTTTAATTTTCTAAAATATACCCTTATTTAATGTGTCATGTTATCAACAAATATAAACTACTTTTATTTAAACCATTATATAATGTAGAAGTATATTAGGAAAAATGTAAATTTCTAACTATATTAATTACATTTTCTTAATTTGGGTGAAAATAGAAACAAGTCTACCTTTGTGGGATAGAGAGAGTATTCTTTCTGAAACTTATTTGCTAACTTTTTTTGCTTAGCCAAATAAGCAGTATGTTGTGGTCCCAACATTTCATATCAGTTTGTGATTAAGATAGTAGTTAGCACCTTCACTCAATCTGTCACTCGGCGAAAATTCAGTAGCTATGAACCTGAGTTATTTTTCGAAACAGCTTCCTGATAAACCCAGTCAGTGTCAATCCCCTGCTTTTAACTATGGTTAAACGGATATATAATGAAATTACTGTGTGCATGTAGCATTTTATTTCCCATGGTGCACCAGTGAAGTCTCCTTTGTTGACTGATTATCCGTGGAGTCCCAGATGGGAAGCGTCAGAAATGGCTGGGAGGATCTAGTAAGTACTTCGTTTTTTCGTCAAAAGGTTTCACAATCCCGTGGTCCGCACATAATATTTTTCTTCCACGAACTATTTTGGCAGTGATTTTCTAGTGGACGAATGCTTGAACTTCAAGAAGTTCTGCAATGAGAGCATGGTTCTACTGCGTTAGAAAAGCTTTCAACCTTGGAAGAATCCTTCATGAAATGATTGATTCGACTCATGTATTTGAGATTTGTTGTACGTATTAGATGTGTGTATTTTCGTGTAGAGAGGAAAACTAAACGAAGACTTTTCTTTGTCAAGAAAGAGCAAAAAATGGTGCTCCTGATTGTTTGAAGAACGGTCCTGAATTTAAATTATTCAAGTGTCATTTGCTTGGAGTTCAAAATGAGAAGTCAATATGTTGATAAATTGTTGGAAGTGGTCGAGTTGCTTCTTTCTTACTAGGAGAAAAGGATACTCATTTTCACTTAAGATTGTTATTTTAACATATACGTAATTTGAAGCTTAGCCAAACATCACTATCCGATAATTGGTTGGGATAATTTATAGTTCTCATAATGGTTAGGCTACCATGCAGGAAATTAATTCAAACTGGAAAATATGAAAATGAAATAAAATATATTTTGTAAAATAAATAGATTTAGCCCATTATTATCTCATTAAAATGAAAAATATGATCGTTATCCATTACAACAACATTTAAATTCAAAATTTCTATCTCTTATGTGGGTTTCAATAACAGCTATATTTTTCATTTTTATTCTATAATAATTTGGCTCAAACAGGGCCTCAAGGAGATTTCCTGCTTTATTTATACAAAGCGGGGCGAGACGTGGAGGGAAACTTCGGAGGCAAGGCGGGGCGGGACGGAAATTTTTGCCATCCTAGTCCCTACCAACCATAAACAATCCACTTCATTAATTTTGATGGTAAAGTAATTAACGTAAATAGCTTTCTTTTTTTTTTTAATGGAACATAAGTATTTATTTTAAATTTTGATAAAACATATTTATGTAATCGTGGCCAAACGTGCACCACCGTTTGGGGCAGTGGATTGGATAGAGGGGTTCGAAGCGCCAAAACGTGCGCATACATCAAACGATAAACCACGTGATGTCCCTAATATCTCTCAGGCGCACTGCACACAATTCTCTCCAGTTACTCCCAACATTGACGCAGCAAACGATTTCCATTTAAACTTAAAAACTGTACGAATTGGAGAGAATTGCGGGGCTCTTCAAGTATCTCCCTCCCATGATTCTTGCTTGCGCTTAACATTTCCATCAACTGCCCATAAAAATATCCAAATTATCAATATTACTCCCAGAAAACCAAAACCCACAAAACACACACCCAAAATGAGAGAAATCTTGCACATTCAGGGAGGCCAATGCGGGAACCAAATTGGGTCGAAATTCTGGGAAGTAATCTGTGATGAGCACGGGATTGATCCGACAGGTAGGTACAAGGGTGAGTCTGGTGACGGTTCGTTCGATCTCCAGTTAGAGAGGATCAATGTGTATTACAATGAGGCCTCCGGCGGAAGGTATGTTCCGCGGGCTGTTTTAATGGATCTCGAGCCTGGGACGATGGATTCCATCAGATCCGGCCCGTATGGGCAGATCTTCCGGCCGGATAACTTTGTTTTTGGGCAGTCTGGGGCGGGGAATAATTGGGCCAAGGGGCATTATACGGAAGGCGCTGAGTTGATTGATGCCGTTCTTGATGTTGTGCGGAAAGAGGCGGAAAATTGTGACTGCTTGCAAGGTTGATGCTATTCTTCCATTTTTGTTCTAATAGATATATTATACATGCATGTTAGAGTTTTAAAGTAATGCTGCCAATATGTTTACAACTTAGTTTTTGTGCTTTATGTGAATATTTGGTTTTATCCGTTGCATTGCTTAGATATTGAATGGGTTATTTGCTTTCTATGGTTTTCAAAGATTTGATTTAGGCGTGGCTTTTGGGTTTTCAGACGTCCTTGGTTTTTGCGGATCCTTAAATTTAAGTGAATTGGTTAATTTATGTCTTGATCATGGTTTTTTACTTGAAATAATCACTTAATTGATCTAAAAATAAATACTTCAATTCGCACTATTACCGTTTTCTTCTAATCACGTATGGAAATTTCTCATCTTAAACTTGTTTAGAACAATTAAAGATAAGTTGCTACTTTTTTTGTCAATGATTATACTCAAAATGTCTAAAAATTATGAGTGACTGCGTGCTAAAAGGTGCTGGGCTTTGTTTGAGAAGCAGACAAAGTAACTCCTCTCAAATTCTTACTTTTTGAACTTACATTTGTCATTCAGTGGATCTACTTTTTTGAAAATTTTGTTTATTTATTCATGCATGTTCTGTCTTTGATATTTTATATTTAGTGCCAGATATATTTTAATATTTTTTGTGGGCCCTTTGTCCAAAATTGGAGACAATTGACATCATATTCCCTGTTCTTGAATAATGCTTAGCTTAATTTATTTGATCCGTAATTAATACTGCTGTTTTATAGCACCGACAGTTTTTTTTACCCCTTGACCAATGACGATGCATTACTTGTTTAGAGGTGTAATTCGTCCTGGCCCAGCACAGGCATGGCCGTGATATGTGGCTGTCCAATATAAAAATTTGGCTGTTGCTGGAGGTGGGGACGTATTTGTTTCAGGGAAATAATCAAAACTTCCGTACTTTTCTTCAAAAAGTTTATAAATATCCCCTCGACAATGTGTTCAAAAATACATATTTTTCCTTGAAAAATCTTTATTTGTAATCTCTTCGTGTAACCAGCGGTTGCAAAAGGGGGTGGTCGCAGCGACAAGGTGGAGGAAGAATAGGTGGTGGTAAAAGATGGCGACTGCAGCAACGGTGGTATAAGAGGTGTTGGCGGCGGCCATGCAAAGGAGGTGGTGGTGATGCCCAGATCTGTGATGGTGGATATTTTAGGTGACGGTGATTGCAAAAATTAAGGTGGCTTCATCTTGGTTGGTTCACTTTTTGTGGTGGCGGTGAGGGTGTTGGTGGGGATCTTTGAAAGAAGGGAATGTTTACGGTTTAGTGGTCCGAATTGATGTGGGAAAAGAGGGCGTTTAAAAAGGGATTTAAATAAAATGTGATGAATTTTGTTAAATGTTTTATTAAAATGAGTAACTAGGATTAAGAATGAAAATGGGGGTATATTTGAATTTTTTAACAAAAAGTTGGTGTTTTGTATGATTAATATTATTGGCCCACTTCAAGTGGCCTGCCTCAGACTTGCATGGGCTGGTCCCACGAGCCATGCTGGGCCATGGGCCTGATCCAACACGTTAGATGTAGGCCATTTCAGTGCACTTTTACGCCCACCACCCCGATGTATTTTTTCGCTTCCAATAATCCTATCTAGCACCCGTGGAGTCCACCTTTAATTTTCCAATGAAATTGGGATGCATTTGATTTGTTTGACAATTAAATTAAATTAATGAAGACTCGTATAGAAGTTCAGTTATTGACTTTTTGAGGTGTTATAAATTGATGTTAGAAAGTGTTATTGAATCACAAGTGTTGTCTATATTCCTAATCATTTTAACAGTTTTGTTTGGACTTCGGTTCTGCCTTTGGTGAGATTTTAGTCATGGTACACTACAATTCCAGTGTGATTTGTAATGAAGCTTACCCAGTGATCTTTTCACCGTCAGAACATGCTGGTTTCTTGTTACATATGCTTTCAGTCAGTAATTTCATTTGAGAGAGAAGCCCCATACATTAATATCGATTTTTGCCAACAGGTCATGGCTACTCGTTTTTGTAAATTACTGTTCCTCGTGGGAGCTGGTCAATGAAAACTAATGTAATACATATTTCAACTGATATGCTTCCTCCAATGGTTTTATGTGGGCAGGATTTCAAGTATGTCACTCACTTGGAGGGGGGACAGGTTCTGGCATGGGTACCCTCTTAATTTCAAAGATAAGAGAGGAATACCCAGACAGAATGATGCTCACTTTCTCTGTTTTTCCATCACCAAAGGTCTCGGACACTGTCGTAGAACCCTATAACGCTACACTTTCAGTGCACCAGTTGGTGGAAAATGCAGATGAATGTATGGTTCTTGACAACGAAGCACTCTATGACATCTGTTTCAGGACCTTGAAGCTTAGTAATCCAAGCTGTGAGTACCCACCAACCTTATCACTTCTAGAACAAAGAAAATTAAGTGCATGTTAGGTTAGTACTTCGGATTAGGACTGGTCAGTATGACGATGATAAATAAGATGTTGGCCTTTTATTTTATTTATTTACATGTCTAGTACTATTGGATCCTTGAAAGTTTTTATGTTTTAATGTTTATTCTGTGTGTAATTTTTCTTATTATTAGTTGGTGATTTGAACCATCTGATCTCTGCAACTATGAGTGGTGTAACCTGTTGCTTGAGATTTCCTGGCCAGCTGAACTCAGACCTCAGGAAGCTCGCTGTGAACTTGATCCCTTTCCCGCGTCTTCATTTCTTCATGGTTGGATTTGCGCCACTCACCTCTCGTGGATCACAGCACTACCTCTCTCTCACTGTCCCGGAGCTAACTCAACAAATGTGGGACTCGAAGAACATGATGTGTGCTGCTGACCCGCGCCATGGCCGCTACCTGACAGCCTCTGCCATGTTCAGAGGGAAAATGAGCACCAAAGAGGTCGATGAACAGATGCTTAACGTTCAGAACAAGAACTCATCATACTTCGTCGAATGGATTCCGAATAATGTGAAGTCTAGTGTTTGTGACGTCCCACCAACTGGCCTGAAAATGGCATCCACTTTTGTAGGTAATTCAACTTCGATTCAAGAAATGTTCAGGAGAGTGAGTGAGCAGTTCACGGCCATGTTTCGACGCAAGGCCTTCTTGCACTGGTACACTGGAGAAGGGATGGATGAAATGGAGTTCACTGAAGCTGAGAGTAATATGAATGATCTGGTTGCTGAATACCAGCAATACCAGGATGCTACTGCGGAGGACGAAGAAGACTATGATGATGAGGGTGATGAAGAGCAGTACGAAGGCTAAACGTCAGGGAACTTGTTTGTTTCATAGTACTGATCATACATGATATGCAACAAGTACTTGTTATCTGTTCCTTCTGTGTTGTTGTCTACTACCAAGTGATATAATCTTCGCTTTCAGTGTACCTGTTTGTTCCCTTATTTTCCATTTCAACGTTTGTGTAATATTCCCGTATGTCTGAACATCAAAATCGTTTGATGCCTATCGTTTGGTTTGATTATGGATATTCAACATTACTGAATATGCTATAAAAGAAAATATTGCATCTTTTTCACTCATTATTATTATTTTCACAGGGCAAGTGATAATAATTTGCTACTGCTCACCTACTGAATTCGTGACAAGATTAATCCATCCTCTCATTTTCCGTTGGGACTTTTCTTTGTACAAATAATTGATAGTAAATTTACCCCCAAAACCCCAAAAAAGTTGTTAGTCACACGACATTTATACTTTCTTTTTATGTGAACTTTTACGAACCAAATAACTACGAGTCTAAATGTTTAATAACCGCAAGGCCCCGTTTGATTAACCAAATTTTTCAAAGAAGTAGGAATTTTTTTTTTTCAGTTTCCACGTTTTGGAGCGTTTGATTGCCAAACTTTTCCCTTGAATTTGGTTTCCAGCCTCCACCCTCACACGCCATCTTTACAGCATTTCAAGGAATTGGTTTTCTTGCCTATTTGGTGGAAAAGTGTTTTCCGGCTTCTTTTTTTTATTATTATTTTTTGGCAATTGGAAAAAATTCTAGACACAATGGTAAAAATATTTATCACTTTTATTGAAAATTTTTATGCAAAACAAAGCCAAACGAATGATACTCGGTATGATGATTTTTTTTTATTTTTTAATTTTTTTTAGCAATTTTAAAAAATTCTAAACCCAATGGTAGAAAAACTATCATTTTCATGAACAATTTTCATAAAAAACAAAGTCAAACGAAAAACTTTCAATATTTTTCAGGTGGAAAATTATACCAATCAAACACAATTAATTATAATTTCCAATAAAACAATTTCTAGACAATTCAATTCCCTGTAATTCATTTTTTTTTCCACCCATTTTTCACTTTTGCAATCAAACTGACCCCAAGTCTAAATGTTTATATGTAAGTTTGTGAGTGGCGTGGAACAATGCGTTCCTTAATTCTTGGGTAGAAGTATATCATTTACTATATAAAGTCTAAGCAATGAAGTACTAAAGATGATGAATTATATGTCTACAACTTCTAAGTTATTTTGAGGTTTAGGTCCTCGAAAACCTACTTATGGAGGTGAAGGCCCTCCTAAACGAGCTTGTTTCTTCTTCTAGTTTTCTTACTAAATATTGGAACCTATCAAGTGGTATCAGACACAGGCAACAAAGCAAGGAGCAAATCCTAGCAATTCAGCAGCGGCTGGTGAGTATGAAGGAAACCTGGAGGCTATATAGATGATAATTCCCGCAGGACCAGACTATCATGCTATCATCCTAATTAGAAACACATTGGCAATGATTAGTATTATCAACCCGTTTAAGTGGCACAAACAACCTGGAATATATGACTATTTAAAAAAGACTTGAGTGAACTTATCCAGTGGATTGTGGTGCTGAAAAGATGGATATTCAACATGCAGTGGGTGTATGAGTGGAATGGTTGGCTTCTTGGCCATGTTTATGACTTTGCAAATGGGATGAAGATCAAGAATTACATTTGCTCATACTAAGAATTAGCCCCTCAACCATCTTTAAGACGTGTTATCCATTAGCCTGACTATAGTAGAGCTATTCATTTAATTACATGATTGCATATATTTGTAGAACACCTCTAATAAAGGGAACAAATTTAATAGTAGTATGTTCCATTCGATTTAATTCTATCAAAAACTTCTCAAATTCCGGTTACTTTCAACCACTCTCTGTGCTTGTAAATTTAAAAGAAATAATTTTTTGAACTGTTCCCACGATTAGTTATAAAGTCTAGCTGAAAGATGATGAATCGCATCGCTTTGGAAAATCACATACAAGTAGTCTCAAGATGTGAGTAATCCAGAATCTGTTACTGTAGATGTACCATAGTTCAGTGACTGAAATGCAGAAATATGTCAAATACAATGACAACAGCAATTGGGGAAAGAAAAACCATTGACAGGAAATAGTGTTTTCATTCAAGATTCAGCTCTAATTAACCACCAATCAGCTATAAACTACACTAAGATGCTCTCTGTTTCTTTGATTTTTTAGCATCCAAGTCATCGTCCCAGTCATCTTCAGAAGAGCCATCGTGGCTCTTGCGCTTCTTTGACTGCTTTGAAGCAGCTTTAGAATCGGGTGTCTTCTTTTTCTGTGTTGAGACGGGAGATGTTGATGATTTTTTCTTAACAGTGACTGATTCAGCTTTCTTCTTAACTGTGACGACAGACTTCATTGGAGAACTGAGCCTTTGCTGCCGGGCCTTTTTCTGTTTTTTCTCGAAAACTTTCTTCGCCTCCTCCTTTGGAAGTAAACCAGACTCCATCATCCTACAATTACATCAAAATATCATGAACAACAGCACATCAAATGCTATATTCTCCCACAGTATAATGACTTTTTGTTTGTCCACAACGGGGAAGATTATTTAAAATCAAACATACTGAATCATCTTGAAGAAAGATTTTACCACATGATACATAAAAAATGAGGTTCCATGTGCATATCAAATCTTAACTAATTTGTGTTTCATGAGAACTTGGCTTCCTGGGAATTCAACATCTATGAGAGTTTCCCACCATTGAAATAAACACTCTCGGGATGACTTTACAGATCACGAAAAAATTTGGGGATGATCACTACCACCAGTCTATATGTCACAACCAGCCTTAGTAACTAATGTGTGTATTCTACAGCCAAGAAGCATGGAACAGTGGAAGAATAGGCAAAAGTCCGGAGGGCATACACATCCAGTAGAGAAGGCTAACAATTATGGAAAGCCAAATGTCTTTTGTGCATGGCATATGCACATTTGCATTGCATACTGATGAACTGATAAGAAAAATCTGACCAAATCTGCAAACAGAATCAAGATCACAACCAGAGAAAACTAATCTGCATATCGGATGCATCAAATGAGCTGTAGAAGTAACCCTTATATTCTGCAAGCACTTTGAAGGCAGCACGAAGGAAAGAAGGCATTTACCAGAAAGCATAGTTAATAAAAGAATAGTTCAAAGGACCTGGTGCTATAGATTAATGTCAATGGGAACTTCCCAAAAGATGTTCCAAAACTTTCTACTTTGAAATAATCCAGATATTTTAGAATCAAAAGTTTATCATATCTCCCAGACTCCCACTGCTAAAATATGTAAGGGAACAAACTTAGCTAAGTTTTAAACTAAATAGCTAAGTTTTAAACTAAATCTCTCTTCTTCACCCCTTTTTCTTTGGGGAAATGGTAAAGCTAATAGTCAGGCTGACTTTTCTGTAAAGTATTATCAATATTATGTATCAAAAATTGAAAGTGATTATTGAAAACCAAGAACAAAATGCAATTAAATATCCTTTACGAGTTGACAAAACCATTAAAATGTATAAAAATATTCACCCATCTTTTTGAGAAATTCCTCCATTCTTTCTCCTGTTTTCAGTCAACTTAAAACAGGTTAGTGCATATGTAAAATAATTCGTGTACTCAACAAAAATATTATATAGTCATACACTTGCATACCTAGCATTCTGGATTCTGGATCGCTTGCTTCTGTGAACAAGAATTAGTGATTGCTAGCATACCTTAACACTAACAGAAAACACAACAAAAGACTACAACCTACAGCTATCCACATGATAGGCAGCTTAAGTAATTCAGCAGAGGCATCTTTAAAGTATATAAATAACAACATTCTCTATCTATAAGTAATCTAAGTCGAAAGACCGAGGTATTTACATTCTCTAACTTCAGATTAAAAAATGGGAATAAAAAAGGAATCATTATTTATAATATATGAGGTGAAAATTCCTTAATGGAACTTTAAAATCCAGCAGATTTATGGACAAATAGCAACTTCAGGTGCACAAATAGTTAACTCACCATTACTCAACAAGTTAAACAATATCCAATGCAAATATTCAATTTTATATTGATGATACATAAACAAGGATTAGTCTTGGTACTTCAATAGCTGGAATGATCATGATAATAGAGTTTCTAAGAAAAATTCACAGGTCAACAAGCTTAATGTGCAACATCCGGATTGGCTTGGCAATTAAATCTCAAGTGTAGAATTTATGAGGTTAATGATGCATGATTAAAGAATAAAGAACATAAAAACTCAAGCGTCCAGCCACATAAACTTGCCTTCTTTTGGCATCAACCAGACATAACAATGCTATTTTCCGAAGAAATAAGCAATTTAAGGAAATGTAGGCCCTAGTTTGATACAGCATCAACATGGAATCGGGTCTAACAAAAGTTACAAAGAGGTTTCAAAAGAATAATTCCTCACCAAATTGCGGCCATCTCACTAGAGGGCACTTGATTATACAGAGTCTCGTAGAAAATTCTCAATGGGTCTCTCTGCAAATCCAATTCAAGAGTAATCAATTACTTCAAAAAACCCCCAAAACAAACTTTTTATTTGACATACGAAGGAATAAGGAAAAACTTACTTCCTCGGGAGAATCTCTCTTTTGACCAGGCAAATCATACACTTTCCTTTCCCTTTTCTTAGCATCTTTGTCACTTGCTTTGGCCTCCCTTTTCTTCTCCTCGTCTTCATTTTTCTTCTTCTTTTGCTGTCCCTAACATAATTCGAAAAAAAAATTCAGAAACAAAAAAAACAAACTCATTATTCAATCATGGAAAAATCATAGGATGCTCATAAGATATGAAATCCTTACCTTGCTGTCAGCTTTCTTGGTTGTCTTTTTCGAGATGGGCTCCTCAAATTCGTCATTATCTTGTTCTTTTTTCAGTTTTTTTTCTTCTTTTTTGACTTTATTCTGGGATTTTGGGGTGTCATTGTTGTTATTGGCTGATTTCTTCTTGCGGTTTCCAAAAGCTGATGCTATGCTCTGTTCTTCATCTTCATCTTGAACTTCCACTTTCTTCACCGGTTTTGAATCTTCTGAAGGCATTTTCCTAACTTTTAAATCAGATATAAAAGTGTAATTTGGAGGAAAAAGAATGGATTATTTTGATGGCAATGCTCGACACCAGAAGAAGAGAAAATGAAGGGTTTCTACTTTCTATTTCATTTCAAAGTTGAACTGGGCTCCATTTTATACATTGGGCTGTCCATCAGTATCCTACGGTCATGGGCTTTTCTCCAGTTTATCACTTAGACTGCATGATTGGGCTATTGGACATAGGGCATACCCACCAGGATTTCATTTTCGAATGTTTAGTTTTTCCGGTCTAATAGATTGGTTCGATTGTCATGGTACAATTGCAAGGCATGGAACTTGAAGTCTTAAAGAGGTTTATATGGGCTACCACCTCTTCAATCTCAACATCTATCTTTTGAAGTATGACACGATCCATAACATTTGAATCGTAAATGGTGATGTTGGCATAGTAGTGTTCTTCCCGACTAGCTATGGCACGGATGGTGATGCCGACATAAAAAATCTTTCTATAGAAAAATTTGGCCTTTCCATATGAAGTTTCTTTAAATTACAACTTTTGCATGGAAAGAACTCCCATTTTCGTATCAAATATTCTCTTTAGAGTGTAAATACATATATGAATCCAAACACAAAATTAATTATGCCTTTTCCTATATATATATATCCGTGGCCTTGTTCCCAAAAAGTTTTCTTTCATCCTTAAAAGCATTCGAAAGTCTTCAGCCAGGATATTTTGAGAGAAGATGGGGTTGTACATGAGAAAAAGAACCCGAAATTCAATGTCTCCATCCCCTTTGCCAATACTAGCGTTTTACGGCATTTTCATTGTGCTATTGTCTATTGAAACTTATATCGAATTCAAGCTATTGTCTTTTGAATCTTATTTAGCCTTCAAGAAAAAAGTTGAAAAAATCAAGATGGGATTGAGGCTGTTTCTCTTCCTTTTACCACTGGTGGGGTTTTTGATAGTCAATGTCATGCTAATGCCAAAGATGAGGTGGCTTCTTATTAGAGTTCTGCAGCCCACTTATCGACCGTTACGGCGTGATCCGAGTTCTTCATGGGATCTGATGCCTGCATACCTAGTACGCCGTGATCATTGGAGTTCTCCATGTGTTCCAACACCTGCATACCCCGTTCGCTGTTATCGGTGCCGATTTTAATGATGATTTACTCTCAATCTTCCACTCATTCGTGCTCGGTTAGGCTAATTTAGTCTCGGGAAAATTTAATTGTACTTTTGGTACGTTGGATTGAATAATATTTCTTTATTGATCTTGTCTAGATCAGTTCCTGGTAACGAATTTAAAGAAGTATTTTATGCACCTATTGCAATTTTGTTATGCAGTAAGCCAAGTGTGACACTGATCCAATTGTATAATGGACAAAAGGATATTATTAATACAAACCAACAATCAAAACATGGAAGCTGAGTGATTACAACTAATTTGATTACCATAACCAAGGATTTAGCAATTTAGAACAGAAAAATCTGTCCATTTTTGTCTAACTTCAAGTAAAAATTTCTTCAAAAGATTTGGGTTTCACATTAGTTTCCTGCTTCAGCTCCTCTTCCGACAACTGTTTCTCGTTAGCCAATTTTTTCGGCCTGGCCAGCTCAAGATCCTTGCTCATCTTCCTCTTGTACATCTCGGAGAACGTGATGGGCTCATCGAGAACCGGCTTCACCCCTTCCCGGACCTTGAGTGGGTAAACTATGGCCTCTGGTGCTGGATTTTGGAAAGTTGCAATTGACAATCTGCTGTAATTAGAGTTCACTACGGCCCGGTGATCTGCTTTCTTAAACCTCCCATTGCTTAGGTACTGCACATGTGATTAAGCATGGATTATTGTCATTTGCTCTATAAAACTCTCCCAAGTGTTTAAGCAAAAGACTCGAGTATGACAATACTTACATGGCCATGGTCACCAAGATTAACCACAAAAGCTCCTTCCACAGGCTGGACTGTAACCCATGTGTTGCCACCATCCCTGGTGGCTTGAAGCCCACCAACCTGGTCCTGGAGCAGTAGAGTAATGGTGCCCGGATCCGTATGCCGCCTGAGTCCGAGTGTGAGATCCGGTTGTGGACATTTGGGATAGAAATTGATAATCACCTTCTGATCCATATCAACACAAGCTTTGGTGAGTGCTTCCTTTTCAAGATCCATTGCTTCTGATAAAACCTCCAGTAATTTGCAGGCCAAATTCATCAACTCTTCGCTGTAAGCCTCTGTCACCGCTCGCCATCCCTCCGGCTTCTCCGGCCACCGGGAATAGTCACGAGCCTTGATCGGGTATGTTAAGTATGTCACAAACTCTCGCCAATTTTGAACTGCTTCACCCTGAAAAGGGAAAATTATAGTTGTGGTCTCAAGAACCATGCAAGGATTGCATTAACTTACCTACAAAAAGTGAAATGCACTAATGTGGAAAATAACATGTTAGAACTACCTGAAGGTGACTGGACACAAGAAAACCCCCTTTCTTGCCACCGGACATATCAAACCGGAGTTTCTCCGCCGCTGGCAAAGCAAAGAAATCACGAGCCA